CACCACCACCAACTTCATCTTTACCATTTCACTGTGTCCAAGATGGAGGCGTGTCCAGCAGTCATCAAACCGACCCTCAGTTTAGCACGGCTTCCAGGGGGGGGCCATGCTTCACAAACTTAATTTTTCTAGGGCACAGTTCGCCTGTCATGGAGCACGGTTTGATGCGACATGGAGATCAGACGTGAGATCATCAACATCAGAAGTGTGTGAGTGTGAAAGACTTTGTCTCAAAGTCTGTTTTTACAGCTGCCGCGTGTTAGCAGGCAGACTATATGTTCCTGTACTGTGCAATAAAAGGGACAGTGTCTACAGGAAGAATGATTTAACAGGAAAACAAAGTGATGAGTAGAACAATGACGTGGTGGTCCACGTGGGAAATGTTCGTCATTTTTCCAGACCACTCAAAGAGTTTGTGTGTAGTTTTATTTTTTGCTGATAAGTTAAATAGGTTATGGTGAATGACGGGAAACACTACAGAACACTTTTGAAAGTTGTCGGGGCTATCTTTTCTGTTTTCTAATCACCTATATGATTAGCTAACATGTTTGTAACTAAGCTCTCCACAGTTTGTATTAGTAACCCTGTTCAATCTAATGCAATCCAATATAAAGCCCTTTTTTAGATCCGGTTTTAAAAGGGCTGATTTAACTATAGTGTCATTTTTTGGTTATGGGTCGTGTTGCGTCAGACTGCATTATGTTGAGCGGTGTTTCTAATATCCCACCGCCTCATGTATGTTCTTGATACATGTGTAGAGATTTGACTTTCATTTTGTTTTTCACTGTATAGAACATTTTCTGCATTTTTTGCTCAGGTAAACCTTCTTTGAGATATTAGGGTCAGTGTGTGTTCTACTTTTATTTGTGTTTATTACGCAGCCGGCTGAATCACCTTAGATCTTTAAAGCAACGCAAAGAAAATATCCTTTATTTGAACTAAGTAATGAAGCAAACTAAGATCCCAACACAGAGGCTTCTAAAAGACTAAGCTGTGAGATGTCAAATCAAATCCTTACCCCAGTATCAGAGTGGGTTTGGTTGTGTTACGGGAGCGTATTAAAGCATCTGAACGCCATCCTTTCCTTTCCAGGGACAATTTACAAGTGAAAGAAAATTCCCTTTTTTATGAATTTAGTTTGATGATATTCTCATTTTAATTACTTATGAGCTCCACATTCTGATGCAAAATAAATGAATGACCACTCGTATACAGATAAGCACAGGAACAGATGTTTTATTTCACAATGAAATGCAGAACTATGATTCTTTAATTTGGCGTACTGCTTGAATAGAATTGACAAAGAGCGTAAAAGCAGATCTTCAGAGAAACTAACACATCAACATTTTGGCACATTTATTGTCCAACACGATAAGATCATCCCCTTCTTTTATCTGATTGTTCGTATTCACTGCACTTAATTGTTGCAAAATGTCTTTGCTCTCTAACTAATGTTCTGTTTTACAAGCAGGCATAAAGCATTCATCTGTATTACAGGTGCAACACTCAGCAAGCAACAGACCGTTAAGGTAACATTTGAATATATTACAAATAAAATGAATGTTTACACATGTAAAAGGGTAAATGTTTTTTTCCCTAACCGAACCTTAGACAGGAGTGTTGCACCTCTTAGCTGAAAGTCAAGATTACGACTATTTTTCTATGTTTAAGTCAGAATTTCGTTTTTTTGTGTATGTATAAACCAAAGTGTATCTTTGCTTCGAGCTTTACCCGATGTACCGGCTGTTTATGTTAATATCTTCGTAACCAAAGGCAAATATGTTCAACACTTATTTCTTCTATTAACTTTTATTTATCTTTGTGCTTGGGCTGATTTTCTTTTTCCACTACACGTTTCATTTGGGTACAATTTAATGCCACCATTTGTTATATTGATAAATAAAAGAAAAATGTCTCCTATCATACTAGTTTTAAATATTCAGCAGCAAGGTTGAAAACATAAGTTACCATGTTGTGGGTGTTGTGGTTTTTTCCAAGCTGTTTATGATTGATCATTTGTGAAAGAGTACAAATAAACAATACAACGAAGATGTGAGTTTGGCTATTTTTTAGGTTTAAAACATTTGAGATGGAGAACAATGATCGGGAGCTTCAAGCAGACCAATTATAAGCTTTTGTTTGAAATGAAAACTGTCTTTTTTCAAACCTTGGTATCGTTTTTATTATTCATGAGTTTTTAGGTTTTGAAGCTCTTGAAATATTTTCCCAAGAATTGAAGAGAGTAAGAAGATAAAGAACTTAACAAGAAAGTGATGACGAGCATGACTCTTTTACTTATTTTTAAATGGGCCCTATAATGCTTTTTGGGGGGGGTTTCCCTTTCCTGTAGTGCATGTGTTATCTAGGTTTGTGTGCATGTAAATGGTCTACAAAGGTTAAAATCCCAACGTGCTCTCCCACACACTCCCCCCTGCTTGAAATGCCTCCAATGGACTCCTTTGTTTACTGTATCACACTCATACTTATATTGCTAGCGTGTCCAGCTTATTGCTTGTGATTGGCTAAAGGGTGAGATATCTCTAAGCGGTTGACCAATCACAACAGAGCCAGCCAGCTAACTAATCAGAGCAGACTGGGCTCTGGTTTCAGACAGAGGGTGAAAAGAGGTGCTGCAGCACAGGCAGTATGAGAAAAATAAAGAGCTTTTTCAACATTAAAGCATTTAAACATGTCACATTAGAGACACAACATACGAATATGAACCTGGAAAAATCTGCATTTCACAACTAGGTTTCATTTTACAATAATGATGTGCTCTAAGCTGCTAGAATACCGCCTTTTATCCTGATGTGAAGGTTGAATCTGTCTTATTCAGTCCCTGATTTCCCACTCACGGCAGTCCTGGCACCGGATGAATAATGACCTGCGTGTAGTGAGAGACTTCGCAGCGCTGCATGAAACCCATCCAAGAAGGCTCGGGTGAATAATTGGCTGATGAGCAAATAAGTCTTTAATTACCTGGCGTGTGGCTTTTTTCCCTTTTCTGCAGAGTTTTTGTGTTTTGGGATGGGCTTGTTATCATCGGTGCCAAAGAAGGTCCAAATGTTTTAATTAAACAGATACCAGAGGACTCAGGTCTGTCCCTGCCTGCCACCATGATGAGTGGTGGGGGAAGAGGACAGATGGACGATAAGCTGCGCTCTCCCTCCTCCCTCTGAACGCTGCCAGATCTTTTTCAATGGACCGCATAAACAATCTGGTGTCCCACTCACATGCTCTTACGGATTAAAAGCAGCTGCAGCTCTCATCCCTCTGCGTAAGGCAACATTAGTGCGACCTGACCTGCCGCATCAAACACCACCACCACTCAGATGCACTTTCACTGCCTCTCACGCAGACACCCTTTCATGTTCACATGTATCAAAGGATTGTAGATGTGCGGGGCAGTACTCCTAAAAGATGAATTGTGAATCAGGTAGCTCTGAAGCCTTTCAATGTTCTCCACTTGAAGATTACATGGGGGTTAGACCACCTGGGAGATGCAACCCCCACTAGGGGTCGCCACTGCCTCACAAGAGGTCGCAAAGGCAAAAGAAAAGTTGGCTTAATCTCAGGATTTCGTTATATTCTTTGAGAAAACTAAATGTGATAGTGAAAGTTGTTGAACTGAGTTTTGTCACTACCCAGAGATAATGCTAACCAGCAGGACTGTTTTTCTTTGCCTCCCCAACTACCTTATTATTTGGTCTCTGTCACTAACTAAAACAGATCCTCCCAACCTTTTCCCTTAACTGCGTACTTATCTAATAGCCATTTTCTTTAATTGTAAATATTTAACAACATAATAGTTTGAAAGCCTTGTACAAGCTATTATAGCAAGTCAACTAGCTCAGCCTTTACTTTAACAACACAGTGAAATGCATTCTTTCCAAAGCATGGTATATGTTGCTAATATGTGTCCCTTTCTTATCTGACTTTCTAGCATCGATTTATAGATTAAAACAATGTGGAAATTATCCACAATTGCATCCATATGGAACGTAAACCATTAGGTCTGCGTTCCAGGTCCATAATGACCCTAGCCTGATATTTCTTAGGTTCCGGCAATCCTCTCAATGTATCTGAAATATTTGT